CACACACACACACACACACACACACACACACACACACACACACACACGACTCCCTTACCCTGAACTTGTACTTGGTACTCCTGTGGAGATTCCTCACGGTGCAGGAGAGCTCGTCGCCATCGTAGCTTGGCTGGAAGCCATATCCCTGAGACAGAGAGACGAATGACAGAGGGAAGAATGGAAACAACCAAGTGAGCAATAACTTACAAGACAACCATTGTTGCACAGTAAATAAAGCGGTCTGCAGGTGACAAACGGCTACAGGGGAACGTTTTTTTTTGTGTTTTCCCTGGCAGGCGTTATGTCTGCAGGTAGCTGCTCGAGGCGGTGCAGACAGAAGTGACAGTAACTAGCTAGAAATGTCATAACTTTTTAGAGCAAACTCTTTTTCAAGTGTTTTGATTTTTCCTCTTCGGCTGGGTTGAAATGAATAATGCCTACACACACACCAAGTAGCTACACAAGAATGCACATCAACCAGGAAAAAAGTATGTCTGTTATTTATAGACTAGACTATGAATGTGAAAACTGTATATGTACTTTGTCAATAGCATAGATATTTCACGCTGTCTGAAGATAGACTTAAGTCAAAGAGGTAAACTTGGCAATACTGCCCCCTAAAAAAGTGATGGCCCTGCAACTGCATAGAAGGGGAATGTGGAATATTTGACAGGAACAATTCAGTTGCAGATAACGCCGTGTCATTTGTGCGTCTCGATCTCAGAATTTTCGATTAAAAAATAAATTAAAAAAAAAGCCTGAGAGACATACCGAGCCTTCCTCCTCCATCTCCAAAATATAGTAGATGTCATCCTCCTTGGGAGAGCTAGTGGGCCTCTGCCACTTCATACACAGCCAGGTCACCCCCGCCATCTCCAGCTCTGGAGGGAAGGGTGGCAATGGCACACTGCATGAGGTGAACAGGTCCACCACTTCACTGAACTCGCTGGGGAGGGCAGAGAGAGAGAGCGAGAGAGAGAGACAGAGGATGGGAGAGAATGGGAGAAAGGGACAGGAGAGACAGAGTGAGAGACACACATGCACACACAGATGGAGACAGTGAATGGAAGAAACAGTAACATAAAAATGGACAACAGGGAGGGTGCCATCCAGGAAATAAAATCGAGCTTGATCTGGAGTGCCTACCTTACTCCCATGTCATTTTTAGCTGCAAGGCGGAAGGAGTATCTTGAAGCTGGCGAAAGCTTGGTCACTCTGTACTGCTTCTGAGGGCCGTAGTAGCACTGCTCATACATCCCAGTGCCCTTACCCTGCAGACAACAACCGTTTCAATAAGAAGTAACTTGGAGTCTTAGTGGCACATAAAACACGCGGGTGCTGTGCAGTGATCAACATTTCCTTCATGACAAAACAATTACCTCATCCCATTCAAGAATGTAGTTTTGGATTTTGGAGCCGTTGTCGCATGGAGCCTGTAGACAAACCGTGCGTCGAGTGATTATTACATCTTAATCAGATACATGCAGAAAACACACATACCACTAACACCCAGTTATTTCTTTGACTTTAAATGTGAGCACACGGAGCCAAACTCAAATGTTTGGATGGCTTGAGTCACACCGCACTTCATTTAAAATCTTGTGCGAAACATTTCTCATTACTGCCGCTAATTACGAAGAAGCCATTGTCAGGCCATGCTAATAACAAATAATGTGCATCCAGGTGTACGCACTCTTCTATATTTTAATTAAATCAGTGAAGTTTGCTGAGCATGCACGATTTGTTCTTGCAGAGCCTCGCTTAACTCTCACACATTTACACTCACACCTGGGAGGTGATCTGCGTAACCGCTGCCTTTAACTGCTAGCAATTGAGCAACTTTAATGAAGCCACAGAAGCGATGGCTGTTGAAGAAGGAGAGATTGATTCTGAAACATTTTTTCCCTGTATGTACATGTGTGGCAGGTATCTCTCTCTCACACACACACACACACACACGCACACGCACACACACACACGATTAAAGGCGCTTTGGCTACCAATTAGCAAAAACACTTTTTTCCACTTCGGTATTATTACTGTGCAGAGAAGAGATTGTGGTCTAAATGTTTCCTTAATCTGTTGCTTGCTTTCTGTCACGTCTATACGGCTGCCAATTGAGAAGGACCCGCCCCTGACACTGTTGGTTTCTGGGGGATTACCTTCCACTGGAGTACCAGTGTGTTCTTGGTCCCACTGGCCTTCCTGGGAGCGTTGGGCGGATCCGGCTCACAGCTTGAAGTGGTGAAGCTCACAGCCTCCGACGGGCTTCCCTGTAAACAGTTACACATAGCCTGGACCCTGAGGAAAGACGAGGAACGCGGTTACAACATGTTCCGCTGAGCGTTAACACCGTAGTTCAGAAGCAGGCAGTAGGTTACGCCTACCTGACATGATACTCTGTTGCTGGTCGAAGGTCTTCTAAAGTAGCACTTAGTTCTTCCCCGCTGCGTCAAAAAAAACAAAAAAACAACAACATTCTTTAGTGTCATTTCAAATAACTGTCTATGTTAAATGTTGTTAGAGAAGTTGGTTTTGAATCTCGTAGCATCTCGCTACTCACGCTCACCAGTAGATGCTGTTGTACTTCCCATCTTTGCCGCTGAATGAGACGGAGACTTCGTAGCTGAGGGGCTCCGGGGGGCTCCGGTCGTCCTCCACACTTCCGTTCTCACTCTCTGGCCTGGTGGGCACGACGCAGCTCGCTACTGCTCCTCTGGCCTGGATGTCTGATACCTATCGTGTGAAGGTTTAAAATCATCAAACCAAACCTGAGCATGGAAAGAGAGCTTTTTGTCCCTCTAACCACAGCAAAATAAACTCACTTTTCTAAATTGTACTACCCTAAACCAGAGTCCAAAGAGGGGTCGTGTGTTATGTATCAAGTGTCTAAGAAAATGTCTCATTCTTAATTTTCCCAAAACCAACACAAAAATCACATTGCTTGGTCGTGGAAAAGAGACGGGAATCAAAATATTCGAGCCGATACCACCTTGGGACAAGCACTTGGCAGGGATGTGTTGTGCAACCCTAAAATATTTCATTCTGTTCTGAGGAGGCTTAAAAATAGCCTAAGCTACACTGCAGGGGTGGGTGGGGGGATTCATATGTGGAAGAACTCAATCAGGTCACGTCTGTTCCGCCTCCTCCCCTCTGCCCTAGGGGGCCACCTTACCCCCCCACTTCACACAGTTTGATTCTTAGAAGTTTGGCAGCAAAGACAGGAAAAAAAATAAAAAATAAAATCAGAAGCTTCCCTTAGCCATCCTCCCTTAACCTTATCAATCATCTTTACGATAGGTTTGGTTTGCTCCTTTTACAAAGAGTTCAGACCTTAGCGACAGTGTATGACAAATCCCATCTTATACGAGGTCAAGGAAATCCTATTTGTAGTTAAAATAGCAATGCCCCTCTTCCGTTTATCCTCATTGCTTCCCTGCATCATTATACCGCTGGTTATTTCAGAGAATAAGACAAAGGGGACTTTGGCATACATGTGTATTTCCATCCGATTATTTCCCTAGGCCAAAAAGTAACCGTCATCGTCATCTGTAAGCACACTACCGTGAAGATGTGAGAGCTAAGCAACTGTTTCGCAAACAGCTCAGAGCTTTTAGTAGACGCTAGCATCGTTGTTTGGTGGCACATGTGGGAATAGAAATCCCCACATGGATACTAGTCAGCACGTCTGACTCCATTAGCACGATGTCAGCAAGAATCCATCATGGATGTTAATAGAGTGTTTAATGACGCAATGCAGTCGCATCATTACGGGTTCTCGTGAACACGGCGCTAATAGCGTCACACAACATCATCCAAATTGTATTGCTAAGATAAAGAAAAACAATAAAAGGAAGATATCAGGAGTGAATACGAACCACTGGGGTACTGATGGTGCTCAATAATGCTTGCAGGGCCAGAGCTTCCTCATCCAGCTCTGAGAAGAGAAATACAAGTGAATATGGATTAAAAAAACAGCACCGTCTTCATGAAATGAAGAAGAAATAAAGGAATGTGATAAATAATGTGCCGGTTTCTATCTAAATGTGTAATACTGACTTAATCTCTGCCTGCAGTTGTTCCTGCTGGATTTTGTGGGCAATGTAATATCCATTTTGCTATTTGTAACATTTCTGTCATGTCGGTGTGCTTCTTGGACAGTGTAGTAGAGCATGTAACTATAACTACACGCTGAACCAGCACTGAGAACATTTCAGTGCATCTACAATGAATCAAAAGGAAATGTAAGGTTTTATTGATAGTCGTTCAAATTCAAAGCTCTGCAAAATCTTTAGAATAATTGACACAATCCTGAGAGGATTGCTGCCACAGTTATACTAATTTACATGTTCAAAAACTAGCTTGCCAATTAGTTACAATTGTATGCCCGCCTCTAATGGAATGCAAAAGACAGCAGGATTTTGAACATCCTATTCCAATTTTGTCGTAGATTGCTCGTGTTCCTACATTTCTTGAAACCTTCATGAGGTGAAATAATTTTTTCCCCTCCAGTGTCAAAAGCTGTGTTAAACTCCACGATTAATGAGCAGAGTTCACGTAATCAAGAATAACATCGGCCGTGTTGCTAATCCCTCACTGCCACCAGCTGCAGCGGCTAATGAGGCACTATTCTCAGCGCCTCAACACAACACACTGCTCGCATCCGGAAAACACTGCGAGTGCTTTACGTCATATTTGTGAACCTGGACAAACTTCTACACTTTAACCTCCTCACCTCCTGGCTCTCCATTTTTGCCCCTGCCCGTCTGCTTGTCGGGGCCGGCGACGGCGTGGCTGAGCTGCCCCGGCTCCGCCTCCAGCCCCTTCCCTCCGACGCCGTTGTGAATGTCCACTGTCGGGGGGCTGCTGCAGGTCTTCTGTGGCGAAGGGGGAGGGCTGTCCTTCACCTGCCCCCCCCCTCCTCCTCCACCACCACCACCACCCTGACGGTCCTTCAGTTTCTTCTGCAGACGCTCGTACGTTTTGCTAGTTCTGTCGTCTCTGTGAACAAACGGCGGGCGTCCGTGTTGGGAGTGAGAATCTGTAGAGACTGAAGGGGCAAAAAAGACAAGATTTGTGAGCTTGTATAGACACAGACAGGAACACAATAAAGACCTGTCTCGCCACATAAAGAGTCTGAAGGACTTAACAGTTCGACTCAGGCCTTGATTGTAAAAACTCGTCTTAATATAACAATACAGCCCGGACACCGCTCCAACTCACCCTGCTCTGAGTAGATGTGGGCTGGATGGTACTGGGAGATGTACTGGGAGCTCATGTCGCCCACGCCGCCCGCCATGCCCGTGTACAGGTGGGGTGGTGGGGGCATCATGGCAGGGTGTGGGATGAAGGCAGGCAGGTGGGCATGGGGCGGAGGAGGAGGGTGGTGGAGAGGGGAGTGGCCCCCTGGGTGGAACTCTGGTTGTTGAGGTAAAACCAGAACCCGCCGCACTCCGTTCTCTTCTATGATCTGAAGAGACAGACACAGACATACACACACACACACACACAATCAAAGCCGCTCCGAGGTCGACCAGATGCCAATCGGAAAGGCTGCGCTGGATAGTTCAGAATAAATACCTGTGAAACGTATCCAGGAGGCACATAGATTGGAGGCACTGAACCATTTGGAGACATCATGGGAACCTGAGCAGGACCTGTGAAGCAGGAAGGAGCGAGATCAAACACGTTCCCCGAGGGCAAACAGCAGTTTCATCTGTGGGCGATGTGTTGAAAGTAGTGGTGCGCAGGCCCCAGTCTGACCGGAATCATCCAAGCTCTAGCCTGGGCCCAACTAACAAATGTCTTCATAACAAATAGGGATGCACTATATTGGATTTTTGCTGTTATCCAATATTTCCAGCAAATTTTGGCCGATTGCCAATACCGTTAATCGCACACATTTCTTTTCCAAGTCTGTCCTGTATTGGAATAAACATATTATGTCTACGGTTATCGTGATGACCCCCTCAAATCACTGGCCATAACACAACTACGGTAATTTACATGTAAACGTATTTATGTTTATGTAACAACTCGGTCATATCTGTGGAAATGTTCATTTCTGGCTGATGCCAATATTCCATTGTAAGGCCTTTCTCTGCCGATACCGATGACGTGCGGATATCATCTTGCATCCTTAATACCAACTTGTTTATGCCAAAAAAATGTGTCGCATTAACATAAACAGAGCTATGTTGAAGCTCACACCAACATTTGAGAGTGTTGTTGAAAATGTGGCTCAAAATAGCAGTTGCATGAATAAAAAACTGTCACTTTCAAATATTTCACAAACCATCAGCTTAGTACTGCAGCTTACTCTAAACACTGTAGTACCCAGAAGTCTCAGTGGCTCAATACATCCAAAATACATCTTTGTTGACTTCTCTCTTAATGTTTTTATAGACGGCCCCATCTGACGGTGCTTTTGACTTTGTAATCAAAACTTGTAAGTTACTTCCGACTGCCTTAAACCTTCTACACAGATAATAAATGGACTTTATATTATATTTCTGTATATCTGGACAACCATAATAACTCCTCCCAGCTTGCCACCTTTGGCATGGAACACTTGGCAGGTTTTCACCAGAGCCAAAGTCAGACGCTACCTCTGTAGGGGAACAATCCAGACAGTCCATTCACTCTTCTAAACCAGCTGTATTTTCAATGACTTTCATTTTTAAAAAATGCAAAGAATGGCTTTTTTTTTTTTTTTTTTTTATTAAAACTGGCAAACGCAAGAAGGCCACTTTATAAAAGTGCTGAGAAACCACAAAGTTCCCTGCATGGCTCTGTCGTAGGGGCCAGTGCAGCGGCTTAGCTCAGCTCAGAGAAGTGACAGCTCAGCAGAAAGCCTGAGAGAGAGAGGGACCTCTGTGCCAAGTTTGCACATTTCTCTTCTTACAGACCTAAGACTTAAACACTGGGGCCCCAACGCCAGATGTCATGCAGGAGAGCAAAAAGGGATCCACAACACGTACTGACCTCCCAGCAGCCCGCCTGAGGAAGAGTGTCTCTTCATTTTGACGAAGCTGCCGTGAGCAGAGAGAAGACACTTACTTCTAAATGAGCAGCCACACTAGGCCCACGACCACAGAGGCTGGCTTTGTAATGACACATTCAAAACGTCTCGTAGCACCTCCCCAGGTGCTGAAGTCCAGGCTCCACCTCTCGGGGGAGAGCAACAACAAGTGATTGTTGGAATAAGGACGTTTCCAGATAAGCTCATACAGTTTTCTCTTTTTATTTATTCAAACGTCTTTTTGGAGGTGGAAGTTTGTGGTGCTGTTGGTTTGTAATGTGTATATGTTGTGTATTACATAACACCGTTCAGCAGCTGGATAAACACCCTCCTAATGATGATACAGTTTACTGTAGGGCGGTTGCATTCGTTTTAGCGCAGTGTACCTAATAAACTGACAACTGAGTTTACACCTGAACACGTAACAACTCGGGTACTGCTGCACTCAAGGCTCAATAATGACACACGCTACGTTTGCAAGGCAATAGAGCCGGTTGGATTTTTAACACTACACTCATTCCTTATATGCTTCAATGCTGCCGAGCACTGAGCAAATAAGGAAGACATGGTACAGTGGATGAACGCTACCAGATCCACAGTGCAGTGGTTGGCATTAGTGATCCTGTGAATTCCCCCACTGCGGGACTAATAAAGGATTATCTTATTAGTCATGTGTGAATAAGGTGGACAGAGCTGACCTGAAGTAAACAGAAGAAATTGAGGTACTTTATCATAAAGATAGCAATACTCTAATAATGTGAAAATCATCTAAGAAACACACAAAATAACAGGTACTGTGTACCGGAGGACGCACTGTTCTTAAAACTTCTTTTCACGGTTCTCTTCGCTCCAATGCCTCACAATTTATTACTTTATGTTAGTAAAAACATTCAAAGTCTACTACATTAGTCTACCCATTATAAACTTTATTGTAGAAGACAGCTAGCAGGTCGGCCCTCTCATCCTGGTATCAAACGGTCTTTGAAGCCCCTTTCAGTACACTGAAGCAGCAGACTGATGGGTGGGGAAGTGACTCACTGCCTAAGAACACAAGGACAAAAAAAATCCAGGGAGCATTTGGGAGAGCTCGGCCTGAATGAAGGCAGTCACACCGGCTCAGTCCTCATTGATTTCAGATCCACATCATTTGAGTGGGAGTTCAAAGTGTGCAGTGTTCACTCGACTCACTTTTAAGACTAATAAAGGATCTCTTGCTTGTGCCAAATGCCTCTGTGCACCTCGGTGATGACTGATTACGGCAATGCCGACTAACAGGAAATCTAATGAATCACATTAGCATACAATATGCGATTGTCTGTTTAGAACGAGGTGCTTCGTGTGTACCGACTAGGAGAGCAAAGGAAGGAGGGAGGGAGGGGGGGGGGACACCCACTCTTTTACATCAGGCTGACGCACGAGTGCTGACAGATATCAGATAGAAAAGGCCACATCCTCATCCCCCCCTTCCCTCCGCCTGAGTCAACTGGAGCATTGGTTGTGCCGACGTGGCCGAGGAGTGCCAGCCTTCCAGAGGAAGCGGCCATGGGGGGAAAAAAAAACATCAGTCCTCCTCCACACGAATCAGCAGGCAGCCACTGAGCCAAGAATAGCCACAAACAAGCTGCCTGTTCTGGCAGCGTAAACAAGAGGCTGGGCAACACTTTGGGACCGCCATCGTCTCCCGTCAACATCGCATAACCCGTCTTACACCTCCACGCCTCCCGGGGCGGGCCGACAGTATCGACTGGTGTGGCGCGTCTGAGTCGAGACGGGGAGACAATTGTTCGGGTGAAAAAGCCGAGGGGAGAGACTTACCAAAGGGCAACACACACATGTCAACGTGCGTACAAACACGTAAACAGATGCACTAGGGTGGTAACGCCACTTTGAGCACCCACCTGTTTCCTGAAAAGGGATCCAGATCGTAAACAAATTCAAGTGGGACATTGCGGACGTCTTCTTAGGCATAGTGCGAGCCGAGGGAACTGTCGGGATTTAATCGGGCGTGCAAATGAACCCTCAATTAGATACGATGAATAAAAAAAGAAGATAGAGGCTGGCTGGGTTAAGAGAAAGATGTGAAAATTCAAGAAGGGCACGCTAGACGGAAAAGACAAGAGAGAGACAGAGAGGTTTCACATGGGAGCTCTCAATAAGCTCTCAATGGCAACATGATGAACTGTAAGCCTATAAAGATGGAGCGGGCTTGATTATTAATTAGAGCTAATAAATTGTCTCCATCCACAAATAAAGGGAGAGAGGATAGACGAGGGAAGGCAAGCCGACTAACTGACAGAGGTTAATAATTACAGCCAAGCACGGGAAAGAGGCGAAGTATTGAACCGTCAGTAAAGCCAAAAAAAAAGAAAAAAAAGACTAATTGCGACCTAACCTTCATTCTTCGTGATGACACCGTGGCGAATAGTTCTCTTTTTGCATGACACGGCCCATTGTTCTTTGCAGGCAGGAAAGATCTTCCATCAATTAAGCGAGCGGTAATTTGCAATAACCGTACCGTTCTATTAGCAGATTACAAAGCCGGGGATGGACACGATCTATCCTCGGCCGGGCTGTTTCTCCACAATGTGCCCTTTAACGCCAGACCACCGCCAACCCAGACACACAGAGGAGAAGGGCATTCTGTGTTGATCTGTGTGCAAACCACAGGCTGAGGGAGGAAGCTGTACAGTAGACAATGGAGCAAATGAATAAGAATATTTGGTAAACTTTGTCTGAATTGCTGATATTTTAAAAAGGCATCCGCATGGTTCTTACGAACCCACCAGCATGAATGGCGTTTACAGGAGGGGAGGGAATCAGTAACCTTCATGCTTGTGCTTGTGACAGAAACACCACACTACTACTGCTGCTGCTGCTGCTCTCAGACAGAAACACAGGGCGAGAGAAGAGCCATGACCTCAGCGGCCGGATTCGTTTTTAAATAATGAATGATTTGGCTCCGTTCAGGATATGAAGATTCCACTCTGAAAAACACTGTCTCCTCCTGTGATGAGAAGCTAACCTCACAAACCCAGTGACGTGGATCATTTAACAAACACAAACACAGCCGAGTTGACGGAGGAATCGCCCGTTCCTCCGGACATCCCACCCTTGATTCACTGGGAAGAAAAAATATGTTTTTTGATCAAACATCATCTTCTTTCATCCTCTTTACGCCCCCCCCCCCCCCCCCCTTTCGTATCAACGCAGCAAAAGGGAGAATGAGTCACAAGCTCAGTCATTCTACTCACTGCAGAAGCTGTGAATGAACCTTGTCTGTGTGCGTGTCTCTGCGCACATGTTTGTGTACGCGTACTTGGAGTTCGGTGGGGGAGGTAGCGAGTATAAAAATAACGTGCTAATGCGGCTAATGTGTTTGATGTTTGCGGTCCAATTATGTGAACCATATGTGATGATCTTCGTTTAAAAAAAAAAAAAAAAAAAAAAAAAAAAAAGGGTGCTGGGTGTGAGGAAACATGCAACCACCCCACAACAATCTGAATGGATACGGCCCACGCAGTTTTTATACGATGTGTATTTGCTTCATTCATGTAACTCCTTCTGACATACTGTATTATTTACCCGAGTCAATGTGGCAAATACTTTCTGCTACAGAGTGTCTCAGCTGAGGGGTCATTTATGGCAAATGTATTTTGAATCATTGTCTTCAGTAAGAATTAAGACTCCTTAATTCCCACCGATTGTAAAACACTAATGTCTACATTTTTCTCGTCAATGCCGATTGAGAATTATGACGGACAGTCGAACAGCTTGGGAACCGCTCAAACCTCTCCGACGTTGGGATTGGAGTGGGCTGTGTCCTTTTTGAAAACTACAATCCAACATCCACTTCCTGTTGAGATTGTCCAGCTGTGTGGAGGTGAGGGTGTGAGCTGGGTGTGAACTTCACTCTTGAGATTCTTTAATTAACACCAATTTGTGGCACTTTCTCATTTGTACAACCAAGTGCAATTCTACGAATGTCGTTCTAGAGAGAGTGTGTGAAGATGTGTGTTGCACCCATTTTAAACATTAGCGCGTCTCCTGTCGCTCTGCAACAGCTACAATCTACTTATTTCCGATCAAAACCAGGCCCCAACTGTAGTAATTCAATTTAATGACACCACTTGGACTGTTTTCACTCATTCGTAACAATTTAACTCGTCTTGAACAGATATGCGATGGACCATGTGTATTGCAGCCAGGCGGCATCCTCCAGGCTGAAAAGTGAAGCCATTGTGAAGGGGCCTTAAACTTAAACTTGCTTTCTACTGACCAGCAGGGAGCGACTCCTCTGGTTGTATGGAAGTCTATGAGAAAATTACTCTACTTCTCACTTGATTTAAACATTGTAAACATGAGTTTATGATCTCAATCTCTAGCTTCAAGTCTTTAATGCAGCATGATGTTCATTTTGTAAATTATGGTCCATTTAGAGTAAAATAGACCATAAAGTAGGGTATGCGTTAGGGCGGGGCTACCTTGTGATTGACAGGTCCCTGCGAGGACGTTCTTCAGCCGTCGTGTCACTTCAAAAACCAAGATGGTGTCTTTGGTGAGCCAACTCAAGGCTTCAAAACGACGGCAACTACGTCCACTTTTCCTATACAGTCAATGCTTGAAGCTGTACAGAACACATTATGGAAAACGTCTATTGCAGCGGTAGAGCTTCCTAAAAGTCAATTTCAGTGGAAATTCTGTCGAGACAGACCACGCCAGTGTATTGACAGTATGGATACACCCTCACCCCCCTCACCACACAGTGTCAAATGTTCAACAGTGCACATCGAGGCTGCTCCGTTTCAGGCACAGAGGACATGACAGCCTCAAGTCCCTCCGATAGAAAATAGACCAGCACCATCAGGAATGAGATGAGGTGTTTCACAGCTATGGCATCAGAGATAAGGGACAAGTAGGCAGATGGGTCGACTGACCAACCGGTATCTAACAAGAGAGAAAAGGCAAGAGGACACTAGCAAAATGGCTACAAACTGAGCCAGGTGTAAGCATGCAAGCACAGACTAACAGACAGACGGACACTCTTTCGCTCCACGTCGAAATGCCGGAATGGCCGCCTTGGCTTTTGTGGGAGAAGGCACATCTCCATCAGGCTCAGCAAGCCGAATGGAACTAGACAGCAACCAGAGACTGAATCATCCACAGTGATGTGAATCACCGGCAGGCCGAGTCAGATAAAGAGGTGGATCTAATCAACCCAGTGGTCCTTATGCTGACTTGCCTCGTCAGTCCCCAAGCTGATCAGGTGGTCTTATTGCTGGGTGCCAGTGATGCAGCCTTCAGATCTACGAGAAGACAACCCGTGGAGTGCTGGGGGTCATGGGGGGCATGTCCACTCACATACAGAACTCTCCGTATGGCGAGGACGACGGCTAGCAGGAAGAGACTAGATGGCCACGCTAATTAGCCTCCCTTGCCCCTCCTCCGAGGCACGCATCAAAAAAAAAAAAAAAAAAAAAGGAAACTGCCTTCCAGGCACTGCATTTTATAAGATTTGTCTGTTTGTATTGAGCAGGCTGTCATGCGTTAACACGAAGCAATTACACACATCTAGCTGCTAAAAATACATAATTGAAAACACAAACTGGGTGTGGGACGGAGCAAATCCTGAAAAATGTGTGTAAACCGGATACTCCTGGCTCCGGAACCGTGTCGCGCGGTCTCTGTCGGTGCATACTAGGGTAAAAAGGTGAAAGCATGCATATGCTCAAAACACTTAAGTGAACAAGGATAATCTGTTCTTGTGACCACACAACAAACCGATCAACCCTGCGCGCATACGTACACGCATACACACTGTTCTTCTTCTTCCTCCCTCCTTGCACCGCAAGCGGTGAGTCATCCCTCTATTCACGTCACCGAGAGATGAGTGCACCCTGTGACAGGCCAGTTAGTAGCAGTCGCACTGATCTATGTGGCACCTCTCTCCCTTTGTTTCTCCTCTGATGGAGAGACTATGTATGCTCGCTCCCCATTAGGGAGGTTTACTCGCCTCATGATGAGAGGGCCCAGTGCGGGAGCTCGGTCAGACAGGAGTAGGGGGAAGAGCCCCTGCTTTGGGAAAGCGTATGATGGCTTCACATCACTGCTTTTGCTCCTTTGTCATCCAAACCTGGATAACCGAGGCCTATCGTCTCATTGTTATTCATGTACGTCACGAGGCATAGCCAAAGGCTACGGACAAGAGGGATAATAAGCACAAGTCTATACATGGGTCATTATATTTATGCTGAAATGTCGAGCGACTGCCTACTGCGGTCACAAAGGGTAGCGATAATTATTCACTCACAAACCTTCATTACGCCGACATCCTTTATCAAATCGAACATTTAACAGGGAAAAAAGACAAGAAAACAGTGGCAGCGAGCTCACAGAAATACACGGAGGGATGTCCACGGAGCACAACAAAACAAAGCTAATCATTTTCAGATCTCCCGTTTTACCATAATTATTTACAATTACGGCCCCGCGGCTCCACCTCCTACCACTCCAGCTGTCTTCCGTTCGCAACGTCAGCGACGTGTTGGAGCCAGACTTCATTGTCGCTGTCACAAAGCCAGCGCAATCACAAAACAATCGAGGAGAAGGAAATGACTGCCATCAGGACGAATGTGTAACACATCTTACTCAAACACGGCCTTTCAGCCCCAACTCCTCTACCAACACACTGATCAGACCGTATGCTTATTCTGCATTTATGATAGCATGGCGGCGCGCAGCTCATTTCATCATCAAGAGCCGCGTGCCAAATGATATTTGGATAGCAAAGCTGATGAGAGGGGGGGGGGGAGAGAACACACAGGAGCAAAGGATCAGTGTAATAAAGCGTTGTAACAGAAACTACATAAAAACCAAAAGGGTGCATTCATGTGTCCTGAACTAAAGAATGAAGATGGCAGGAAGCGTTTTGTGTGTATTGCCCTATAGTTATATTAGGATAACACATTTTAGGTCAGTTACAGCATGCAAGTGTAACGTCAATCCATGTGACCAAGCTTCATCAGCTGTGTGTCTCCTTAAAAAAAAACATCTAATTTCTTAAAAACATATTGATGCACGTAAATAACAGATCCTTTCAAGCTATGCTTTCCATTGCATCGGGTGGAACCAGAAGATGCGATTATGTCATCGAGCAGCCTATGAGCAGTGAGACATGACTGTCATCCTGTTGACATTCCTGTAAAACAATACGTCAATGCTTCCTGGTTAAGCCCCTCCCCCTTTTCACTGCGCACACTGAACAAAAAAAAAAAAAAAAAAAAAAAAAAGCTGGATGAATACGGGTGAAGGTGATTGCTGGAAATATAAGAGGTGAAAGCAAAAATCTAGCTCAGTTAATCACATTATACTTATACGCCTATTATAACTTGTCAGTGTGATTTTAAGTGCATACATGAAATTTGCTCTGAGCAGCAAGAGCCTTTTCGCAACCTCATTTTTTGGGGCCTCTTGATTCGACATAATTACCTACACAAGCAGGCACGGAGATTCTAAGCTCTCGCTTACAGGCGAGGCAATTTCAGCAGGAAAAATATCCCATGTTCAGGTACATTTTATTAATAAGCCAAACACAGATGGAAAGCGAAACATCTCTGGTTTTTAAAAGCTCGTGTTAGTTTTTAAACACAATCTCTTTGAATGGGTGTGCATTCTTACAGGACCAAATTAAAGAATCAAAACTAATTTAAGAAAATAACTAAATGAGTTATTTAAGTTTTTGCACTTGTGAATACCTTTTTGAGGTTTTGCATATTTCGTTATTTGCTCATTATCGTGATCTTCCTTTTCCATAGATGTCAAGGTAAGAGCAGAGTACTCAGCATTTTTAAACCAGCCATACATTTAATGGAGGCAGCCCCGTGGAGAGCGTGGCCAAGAAGGCGTTTGTGTTGCGGTCACAACGCCCTGAAACTCGCCCTCAGTGCGTCGTCTGCTCTCCCTTTGAGCACTCTCTGCTGGAACAGTCGTGCTTGTTAAACGCAATGAGCCCGTGCACATTGTTGCGCATCTTCATGTTGAGAAGGTGATGCTATAACTAGAATGAAACTTTGATCAAATAATTGTATTCATCTTTCATGTATCTGAACCATACATTACGGCTTAACTGTATAAAAATAAAACGGTCAAACCATATTTAAATGTTGAGGCACGGCTGAGCTTTAAAAATGGACTCATCAATGTCATTACATAAACCCGTTTTGTTTCTTCAAGGCTAAAGAAATATGGTATTTATTTACTTTTTTTATATTACATGATAAAAATCTATATTTTGAAATTAACCACTGGGTTTTCAGACATGCATTTGAATTTAAATGACAGTGAAAGGGTTTCCACACAATAACAGAGCAGCCGTCTCACCTGTGATACACTGAAATTGACCATCCTCTCGTCGAATAGTGAAGGCCTCACCTGGGTTTACCTGCACCAGGATTACCTGTGGAGAAACACAAGCAACATTTCATTTGACCAAGTTAAATTCCACACATGCTCATTAAAGCTGAACTCAACTTTACACTCGAGATCGTGTAACATTTCTGGGACTCCTTCCTCCGTCGTGAATAAAAGCAGCAACATTCAAAAACAGTCGTTAACACAAACAGTGTTCGCTGTTACAATGACAATAAAGCATTCATTCATCTGAACGCACATGGGAGACTAAAGTGTGAACACCAATAATCACAACTGTGTGTGTGTGCTGAATGTACCACACACAATCAATACACAAGCTCATGTTCTACACTAGTTTTCACTGCCAAATTTAAGGAAATATCATCCATAGAGTGTGGAACTGTTTCTCATAAGCAGCACACTATAATGAATACAGCTTTGATTTCACATCACATATGCATTCTGGTTCTTTTTGGTCGCAAAAAGCATATCAGGAGACTCGTTATTGGTTCATTAAAGTCATCCACAAAATCTAAAGGCAACAAAGAGAAACGTATCAGTTTGGCACGCAACCCTTGCCTCTAGAAAAAAAAAAAAAAAACGGCACAAAAACATTGCCAGCTCATAATTGAAACATTTTAAATCATGAAATTATGGTTTGGGTCTCTTTCAAAAACACAATATAATTAAACGGCTGCTCATTTTGTCAATCGAAGAGACGAAACGATTGAATGTTTAACTTGATAACTTTCAAAGTATGTGTTAATGCAATGCATTCACCATTATGATCATTTACCTTTCTGTAAATATGACAAAAAAACAACAATCACCTGTAAATCTCAGGGACATTCAACAGATGCTGCCAGCAGGAAAATACAACAACTAGGAAGCTGATTCCTATTTCAACCCATTTCTAACAAGGAAAAAAACAAACCATCATCCTCCATCTCTAAACATATTGATTGGGTTAATATTTCAAAGGATTCATCATTTTGAACTGAACTGCTTCTCCCTTGTACCTTAGCTGTAATGTGCAGCAAAAACAACTCGAGTCATCCGGCCTTACGAGCCTTAACTATAAACCTCACAAACTGTTCATATCTCCGTCCTATTCATAGAGTTCAACATGACTACTGGAAGCATCAGGTACACACCGCTCCCCTACACTGAGTCATGCTGCTTCTGTCATCACAAGAGAATCAGCCTCAGAAGAACAGGTTCATTGTGTCCGAGGAACTAACTTTTCAAACCACACAACATTCCCGACAACGTCGCCGTCTTCCGATTACCGTCAAATAAAACTGAAATCATCAACACAACTAAAGACAAACAATATGTTTTTCCCGTTCACCAACAGGTCAGAGATTCGTCATTCTCTTAAACTCAATTAACGCGATTAAGGGGTTTTCAGTTGCCCGGCGCTGCGTGTGAGCGCGAGTTACCTCAGTCTTGTGGAAGTCTCCGTCATAGAATCTATACTCGGCTGGCAGAGGGCTCTGGCTACGGTTGTCCTCGAGCACAGAAACCATCAGCACCTCCATCTCTGACACTGCTCCCATTCATGTGCTCGGCGGGGAGCGGAAAGAGCCCTTTGACTGCCCCCCCCCCCCCCCCCCCCCCCGACCACCCCCCAACCCACACAACCCGCCCCCCCCCGCGGTCGAGGACAACCGTAGCCAGAGCCCTCTGCCAGCCGAGTATAGATTC